GGAAGAAATGAAAATTTGGGTGCGGTGATTTCTGATATTGGAGCGGTCATTGGTTGCCCGGTTGGTGGATCTGATGTTGACGCGGTTCATCGACTTCCTTCTCGTTCTCCCTCTGGTGAAGACGGTGCACACGGGATTGGCGGTTGAAGGAGAAATATTGTTGTAAAGTTTGTGTCTAGGAATTTGCGCAATCAGTTTCTTTCGGCCTCTAAGATGTATCGGAAGAATAACAATACTGCCTCCCCTGGCCTCTTTATTCCCAATATAAGCGACAAGCTGTTTATTAACGAACATCTGACCCCTGCTAGCGCTAAATTATTTAAAAGGAGTAAAGAGGCATGCCGCTTGAAGGAGTACAAGTTTTGCTGGTTGAAAAATTGCGTAATACACGTTCGTCGCGACGATAGATCGAGGGTCATGATTATTAAATCGGCCGAAGACTTGTCGAAGCTTTAGGTCAGCCAAAATTAAAAATTTTTATTAAGCCTTTTATTTAGACTATGACTCTGTATTTACTATCAGAATGTGCGTGGTTTGCGCACCAAGACTGCTATATCTTATGCGAACTCGCTGAACCTGACCCACGATTTGGTGTGTTTAACAGAGACTAATCTGAACGATTCCATCTACAGCGGTGAGATCCTTTGCAGTAACTACGTCATTTATCGTCGTGACAGAAATTCGACTACTTCTGCTGGTTTTGAAGGCGGTGGTGTTCTTGTTGCGGTTCGCGCGGGCATTGTCGCGGTCCCTGTACCTAGTTTTCATTCGAATGCCGAGGACCTTTGGTTGAGTGTATGCTTTTGTGGCTCGCGAGTGTTGTTATGCTGCGTATATTTACCTCCAAGTGATTCTGTGTCATTTAGCCTTTTCCTCCGTCAACTTCAGTACGTGCGCGACCGGTCTCCAGACACACCTATACTATTGGTGGGTGATTTCAATGTTCCCAACATTTCTTGGGCCGCATCAGTCGCGGGGAACCTTGTGCCTGTTGTCGTCGCTAACCCTCGTGCGACTGAGTTACTTCTTACTATTTCTTATTGTAATTTGTCTCAATTTAATAATATTGCTAACAATAACTCCAGATACCTAGATTTAATTTTGTGCAACTCGGGAGGAGTCGATTCGGTGCGCTCCTGTAACGATCCGCTAGTTGACTTGGATGGGCATCACCCTGCTTTAGAATTTTTGTTTAAGTTTGATAAACGTCATGTTTTGCGTGAAAGCCCTTCGGTCACCTGGAGGTTTGATCGTGCGGATTTTGACGGTCTCAGGGGTGGGCTGGCAAGCGTTGATTGGCGCAGTTTATTTAGTGGGTTAGATGTTGATCTCTGTGTTGATACTTTTTATTCTGTCTTGTATGGGTATATGAATGAATTCGTTCCCCAGAACTTCTCCCGTAATAATCGTTTTCCTCACTGCTATACGCCTTCTACTATTAAATCTGTTAAAGAAAAATTGAAATACCATAAAAAGTGGAAGAGATGGGGTAATCGAAACGACTTCTTTCCTTTATCTTTCCTTTAGCTTCCAGCGCAAGCGTGCCAAAGCTTTAATTGCTGCTGATTATCGCACTTATCTGAATCGCGTTCAGAGTAACTTGATTGATTGCCCATCTAGTTTGTGGTCTTTTGTTAAAAGTAAAAGACGCGGTGGCGGCAGTATTCCGTCTCGAATGGAGCTGAACGGTGAGGTGGCGGATGACGGGAAGCGTATAACTGAACTTTTCTCTCAGTTTTTTAGCTCTGTTTATATCGACGGTTGCCTGAATACCTCTCACAAGCGAAATGTTATTTACCAATAGCAGCCGTGGTTCTCTGAACGTGATGTCTCTCACCTTCTGACACAAGTCGACCATAAATTGGGCCCTGGCCCTGATGGCTTGCCGGGACACTTTATTGCTAAATGTGCAGGGGAGTTGGCAACTCCTCTATTCATTATCTACAGCCGCTCCAATGAAAATTCAGTCTTTCCCTCTGAATGGAAAAAAGCCTTCATAACTCCAGTCTTTAAATCGGCTAGCAGACATTTTGTGTGCAACTATCGTCCAATTTCCCTATTATCCATTGTTTCGAAGGTCTTTGAAAAATTAATTTATGACAACTTATATAGCTATCTTCGACCTGCTATTATTCCTCGACAACATGGTTTTTTGCGTGGGCGATCAGTTGAGATGAATCTAGTTGCGTTTGTTCAATATATTCAGAATTCTATGAATGATAACTCTCAGGTGGATGCTATTTACACCGATCTGACAAAAGCTTTTGACAAACTTCACCATAACATTCTTATGGATAACCTGAACAAATTTAACTTATCTAACGGGCTTTCTCTATGGATTTCGTCCTATATATCTAAGAGATTTCAAGATTCTTTAGTCAGTACCCTCGATGATTGTGATTTTAAAAATGTGCGTAAATTTTTCTCGCACACCGATCAATTTAAATTATTAACTAAAAAGGAATGTTTCCATATAATTACATGGATTCTTTCGATATGCTTAATGATACAGTTCTACCCTGTAAAGACGTGTTTTTCAATAAACTCACTTTAGAAGGTATAACCGATGAACAATATTAGCACGCGCAAACTGTGTGGGAAACATTTATGTGTCGAACTCTAAAAAACTATTCGGACCAGTCGGATGTCCTTTTACTTGGTGATGTTTTCGAAAAATTTCGTCGAGTTTGTTTTAAAACATACGGTTTGGATCCCGCGAATTATTATACCGCTCCTAGTCTTCGTGGGATTCAATGTTGAAATTTACAAAAATTAAATTGGAATTACTAACGGATGTAGATCAAGTTCACTTCATCAAAAAAGGTATTCGTGGTGGTATTTCTCAATGCTCATTACGCTATGCCGCAGCTAATAATAAATTTATGGAAAATTTTGATACAAATTTACCCCCAAATTTTTTAATGTATTGCTAACAATTTGTATCGGTGGGCGAAGTCGCAACCTATGCCTGTTGGTGAGTTTACGTGGCTAAATTAAAACCAAATTCAAAATTTCAATTTTAATGATGTATCCGATTGCTCTGATTTTGGCTATATTTTGATGTGGATGTTGAATATTCCAAAAATTTACATGTTCTACACAACGATCTACCTTTTCCCCCGAAAACGCAATCCCACCTTATGACTCTAAGCCATGGATTGATTCCGATAATATATATTATTATTAATAAATAAGTATTTATTTATGTTATCTATATTGCTTTGTGGTTTTTATCTCTGTAAAGCTTTGTGGTTTTCATAGTGATAAAATATATATCAAATTTCACGACGTTATTTTCATAATTTTAATTTAAGTTTTAATTCAAATCCAACCAGTCGCTGTTGCTCTCGCGTACACACATACACCACAACTATGAACTCAACAATATTTTACGCTATACTACATGAAGTTTTATTAATTAAATTTCCTACTGAAGTTAAAAACGTATCAAATTGTTTCATTAGTGATTATACCAGTAAACCTAATAGTGATAATGATTTAAAATGGTTGAAAATGGTAAAATCAAACACTATCACCGTTGATTATGATGACTATGGGGATGATAGAGTTTTTCAAATTGTTCCTCCCAATACCACATTCAGGGAGACTATTACTTTCAAGTTACGGTACACGTTGGAAAATAATGACGTTATAAATGGAAATTGGATATGAATCTTATACAATACCAATAATATTTCATTGTGTTATATTAATAGGATACATCTTATAGCCGCTTCAGTAATTATATTTATTACCATTAGTTATAGTTGTATATTTTTTCCACTTGCCATGCGTGAAAATTGTACGATTTTCTCAACAATGATTTTAAATTGCATTAAATAAAATTGTTTAACTGTTATTTACTTAATTCGTTTTAATCTAACCTATCCACACCCCCACCGCTAGGCGCCTGCATGCACTCGCGGGCCGGAAGGTGCTTCACCCCCACGACAGTAGAAACCTACATTACCCACACAGCCGACACTCTCCAATAAATGGCGCACTCCATGACGTCACATATCACGTCACCCCACCTGTCACGCCACGGGCCACGTCACACGCATGCGCACACCAACTCTGTGACGTCAGCGCGCCGGAGCCAAGAGCCTCCAGAACCGGCATTACTATACTACTGTGGTATTAATTATGTTGTTAATACAGTTTGTATTGTTTATGAGGACGAGGACGCAAGAAGTTTATACGATGTTTGTTGAAACTAAATGGAAGAGTTAAGGTTGATTCTCACTATACGTTCCGTCTCCATTCCGTACCGGTACCGTTCCGTTTACGTAAAATATTATAGGCTGTAAATGAGTGGACGTATGCACACCTTCCGTTCCATTTACATACCGTTTCCATTCCGTTCCGTTCCATATTGATGCAAACATATTTTTAACGGACAAGCTGAGACGTGACGGAAACGTTATTGATAGTGGGGATACCGTTACGGTTCAGTTCAATATTTTATTGAAGTGCACTGAGTATAAAATTGTGTTTCGCGTTTACATTTTTCGTGTTTATTGAGTTATTGTTATTGTTTATCGTGTTATTGAGATATGAATGACGAGAAGTTAATTGAACTGGAGAGGGAAAATAAGGCCATCTATGATCTAGAAAATTCTAAATATAGCGACAATCACTATAAAGGCAAGATTTGATCAGTTATTTCAAAGGAACTAAACGTCACACTGGGTAAATAAAAAGAATATTTTCATAACTTTAACTAATCATCTTATTACAAGAGTATTAGTATATACATATGAAATGTAACTACGGATTGATATAATGGTAAACTTTTTAAATTGCACTCATTTGCCAGTCAACAGCTCCTATTGGAGAATTAAATTGTAAATGTCTCTTAGTTGAAACGCAGTAGCTGTTGCATTTCCTCCTTGGTGTGGCAAATTTTCTAAGGTAGAGTTGATAGCTGTGAAATTGATTTGATAGTCTTTGATAAAATTATACAGTAAACATGTAGTTAAGACAATTTTATCTGCATATTATGGTGCAGATTTTAATCTTCTATTATAAAATTGAAATTTTTGAGCTAAAATATCAAAGGCGTTTTCGGAGCATCTTCGAGCACGTGATAATCTATAATTAAATATTTTCTTTGTTGTATCGTCTCGTTGTTGAGGAGAAGAATATGGTCTTAATAAATTAGGTTTTAAAGGAAAAGCTTCATTCCCTACTATCACAAAATTTGCCTTTTGGTTGGTACCGGGAAGTTCTACGGGATAAGGGATATTTAAATTATTTTGTTCTAAAGCCCTTCCTAAAGTTGAGTGAGCAAAAATGCCTCCATCGCTGTTTTTCCCGTATGATCCAATATCAACAGTAATAAAATTATATTGCGCATCGACCAGTGCTAGGAGAACTATCGAAAAGGTTTTTTTGTAATTAAAAAATAGAGAGCCGGAATTAGTTGGAGTTTGTATCACGACGTGTTTCCCGTCAAGAGCTCCCAAGCAATTGGGGAAATTCCAAATAGTCCAAAATTCATGAGCAATTCTTTTCCAGTCATCTTCAGTGGGTGTAGGCATCAACGTACGCAATGTTTTTTGAATTATTGCATCGCAGACTTCTTTTACTATATTGCATACTGTTGAATGCCCGAGTCTGTAGCTAAAACCTATTGTGCGGAAAGAATCGCCCGTTGCCAAAAACCTTAAAAAAACAAAAAATAGTAAAGATTTAACTTTGAAACATTTACAATATTTATAAAATATATAAATAGACCTTTTCGAATAAATACTTTTTCTATGTATAGGGTCGACTTGCAAAAATAGATGCAATCAGTTGAGAGATCAGTGGCGAAAAAATAAAAAAATATAAACTGACGAAATCGGGACAAGCGAGTAAGCCAATAAAAAAATGGCGATTTGAAGAATAAATGGGGTTTTTAGAACCATTTTCGCGCCAACGAGAAACAATTGGCAATCTTGAGGATATTGACGTGAATGAAGAAGAAGAACGAGACGAAAATATTGCGGCTACTGGGACCCACGTTACTGATGCACTGGAAAACGCAGAAGGGGTTACAGTTTCTCCTGCTCAAACTAAATCTACGCCAACACCTACACGACTCCGATCTTCTAACCTAAACCGAAAATCGAAAAGAAAACAAGATGAATCCGCTACTGGAGTACTAATGAAGTACCTTGCTGAAAAGAAGAGAAGAAACAAGTTTTCCTGCAGTAAAAGATTCAACAGATATATTTTTTGAAAGTATTGCTGCAAAGGTTAAACGCTTTACGCCGTTGTTTTGCTGTTATCGCCTCCCTGAATGTTGTTCTTTGTTTTGTTATCACCGGCTCAATGATTAACAGTAATTCGTGGAATTTATATTTTGACATCCGGAAATAATCAAAAAATTTGGTTTCGTCATCTCTCAGTTCTCTAAATAATGTTGTATATTCTCCCTCGATATTTCTTTTCTTTAACATATTATGCACCCAAAATCTTCGTTTTTTCCTTTTTAACTTAACTCATCTAGTAGAATAGCAGCTATAATCAAGTTTTCATCAGACCACATTTTGTCAACACACACACTACTTTTATGTAAATGAAACTGATCAGGAACGGAAAATGTGAACAGACAAGAATTTAACGAAACGTATATGTAATGGTTATGGAACGGAGACGGAACGTATAGTGAGAATCAACCTTAATGAGGAACGGTTCGTCGATGTGGTACTGGATCGCGAGATAGGTGATAATGATTTGATTTTTGAGAGTAATAATGCTTTGATTAGTGAGGGGATAGTGTGTGCTCATGATTTTTTGAGTGGTGATCGGCCACGAATTTTGGCGTTATAGATAAAAGAGTTAGGATAAATCGAAATATGAAGTTAGGATACGCAGTAATCGGAAACTTGGAATTAAATACAACAAATCGGAACGGAAATTAATGCGGATATGGGTATCCACACAATTAACGTGGAACAAAACGGAAGTAATGGTATGATTGAAAAATTTGTTTTACAACAGCTATTAACATCAGATACGAAAATTGTTGAATTGATTTGGAAGTATGAAGATATTTTTGATAATGGAATTGGGGAGTTTAATAGTACGAACAAAATTAAACATAGGATTTTGACGGAGGAAGTATCTCCGATAACGAAACGACCGTATCGAGTACCCTACCACCAGCGAGAGTTACTGCAAGACAAAATAAATGAAATGTTGGAGAAGAAAATAATTAGAATGGCCAAAAGTCCTTGGAGTGCACCTGTAGTGACTGTAAATCGAAAATTGTCGGATGGAACGATTAAACCACGTATTTGCATCGATTATAGAGGTTTAAATGCGATAACGAAGCGGGATTTTTATCCATTACCGAATTTACAGGAAACTGTAGATGTATTATCAGGTGCCAATATGTTTAGTGTCTTTGATGTATCGTCGGCGTACCACCACATCGAAGTCGATAAAAGAGACCGTCAAAAAACCGTTTTTTCGACGAGGATTCAACTTAAAGCGGAAAAATGTCAATTACTTGTGGATCAGGTGAAATATTTAGGACATATACTATCGAATAAAGGAATGCAATCGGACCCGGATAAAATAAAAGCTATTCAAAATTACCCGATTCCTAAAAATACGAAAGAGATTCGAGCTTTTCTTGGTTTGGTTGGGTGGTATCGGAAATTCATTAATAATTTTTCTAAATTGTCGGCTCCACTTACGATGTTAACGCGAAAGGATGTATCTTTTTCGATAGGGGAAAGCGAGATAAAGGTATTATGTTATATATTATAAGGCTATTATGGTATTAAAAAATGCCATAATTTCCCGATTTTTCCCGATTTTTCCCGATTTTTCTCAACCTTTTATTTTGGCGACTGATTTGTCAGATCGCGGTTTGGGGGCGATTTTGAGTCAAATTAAGAACGGTTTTGAGACTCCTATAGCTTTTGCTAGTCGTGGTTTGAAAAATGCAGAACTGAATTATAGTACTAAGGAAAAGGAATGTTTGGCGGTTATATACGGAATTAAGCAATTTAGATGTTATTTGTATGGTCGTAAATTTACTGTGAATTTACCGTTTACTGATCATCGTCCATTACGTTGGTTATTAACGATAAAGGATCCGAGCTCGAGGTTAGCTCGATGGGCTCTTACGTTGGCTGGATACGATTTCGATATAGTGCATAGTCCCGGAAAGAAACACGGAAATGTCGATGCTCTGAGTAGGATTCATGTGATAGGTGTCAAATTGGAATCGAAATTTAAATTAGAAGAAAGGAAGGGGGATTTATTTACAGCATCCCCGAAATATTCATTGGCTCGTTGTGTATCTCAAAATCTTCGTATGTCTCAGGGAACAGCAAAAACTTTTAGACAAAATTCTTATACAGGTAGCCGTGTTAAAAGGACAAAATAAATCACTGGGCGAAGTAGCGGTAATTGAATTAGAAAGTCGACCCGTTTATTATCTGATAACCAAAAACGAGAATTATCATAAACCTACTTACAACTCCTTACAACAATGTTTAGAAGACTTCAAAGCAAAAATGCTAAATAGAAACGAAGAATTTTTGGCAATACCAAGACTTGGTTGTGGTCTGGATAAATTAGATTGAAAACTAGTACGACAAGAAACTAAAAATGTATTTAGCGGTACAAATATTCAAATTATAGTTTATGTTTGGGATGAACCGACGAGTCAACAAGTTGCAATGGTAAACGACAAGGATAAAGATAAATTTATTCCAGTTTGGGATAAATGAGCGTTAGCGGACGAACAGAGAAAGTACGCTTTTTGTACCGGAATTTTAAAAACAATCAAAAATCAAAATTACGGAGAGATAGAAAATTTGTATTATTATGTAGATGAAGAAAATGTATTCTTATGTGCAGTAACATTCAATACGATTTTTTAGAACACAGGGCTGGTTCACTTACCGACCATTGATTAACCACGCTATTAAATGTTCTTTTCTTCACTAGCTAGACTTCTGGTTAATCGGGACAGCCTTTCTTCAAGTCGCACAATTTGTTTTCACTCTCCCCTTCGATCGGTTTTAATACACAGTTCTCACTTATCTTAACGACACACGATAATTTAAATCTCATTCGTGGGTATGAAATGGACCGAAAATTGAATCATAATAACTCCAAAAATTGAGACCAACTTCTCAAAAAAAAACAAGAACTGGTTCGCCCCAGCCTCAAGCAATGGAACGAACCGAAACCAAATTACAACGAATAACGAAAATAAACAATAATGAGAAACTAATAATGTGATGCGTGAACATGTATTATACAAAATGTATAACAATCGTGATTTACTGGTTTTACCAAATTCTTTTGTTAAACGTGCAATTTGAGATTATCATGACTTACCGTATGCCGGCCACGGTGGTCACACAAAAACGATGGCAGCAATGCATGATAGATTTTATTGGCCTAACATGAACCGCGATATAAAGAATTATTGTAATAATTGAGTAATGTAATCGACGAAAAACTCCAGCGCACCTACAAAAGGTACCGCTATAAAAATTTCAAACAATAAACCGTCCGTTCGAACGTACGTCGATGGATATCGTTGGACCTTTAGTCACCACAGATAACGGAAATCGATATATTTCGACATTTCAAGATCACTTTACGAAGTACATCGAAGCTTTAGCTTTGCCAGATCAGAAGGCTGAAATGGTTGCCAAAGCTTTCGTGACTAAAATAGTTAGAGTTAGTTAGTTGAGACTTAATTAATTAATAAAACCAGGTTCAAAAGTACAATACTGAGAAAATTAAATTTAATTACCTTTTTATAAATGAATATTGTTATTGCATATATATTTAGAGCAAATGAATGGTTAAGGGCTTGTAATCGGTCGGATTTGCAAGACAAATCTGTGGAACAACTTTATAAAAACTATAGGGTATGTGCGTTGCATTTTACCCAGAAAATGTATAGTGGTCTACACACAAAGAGGTTGTTGCCCACAGCAATTCCAACAGAATTTAATGTCATCCAACAACCAAGTGAACAATCTGACAATAAAATTGAGATAATAAGTGGTAATTATACAAACTCTACTCTTTTAAACAGAATATTATTAATTAGAACTATTTTAGATATTGAAGGTCCACACACACAGAGGTTGTTGTCCACAGTTATTCCAACAGAATTTAATTCTCAACAGAAGTCCCAACAATCAAGTGAACAATCTGACAATAAAATTGACATAATAAATGGTAATTATACGAACTCTACTCTTTTAAACAGAATTTTATTAATTAGAACTATTTTAGATATTGAAGGTCCACACACAAACAGGTTGTTGTCCACAGTTATTCCAACAGAATTTAATTCCCAACAGAAGTCCCAACAATCAAGTGAACAATCTGACAATAAAATTAAGATAATAAGTGGTAATTATACGAAGTCTACTGTTTTAGAGAAAATTTTATTTTCCTTATATTATATCCTTGTCCTCTATTTATTGAAATCGATCCAGAGTCTACAGGTAAAATATTTAAACTTTGTAGTTAATATAGTAATGACATTAATTTTGTTGTAGTGTCTCCA